GAAGAAGAAGAAGAAGAAGAAGAAGAAGAAGAAGAAGAAGAAGAAGAGGAGGAGGAGGAGGAGGAGGAGGAAGAAGAAGAAGAAGAAGAAGAAGAAGAAGAAGAAGAAGAAGAAGAAAAAAAAAGCCTGTGACAGTTAAAAGAGACAGCAGCAGTGATGTGGAAAATCAAAAGGAGAAACATTACCGTTTGTGATTAAAAGGTCAAAAATGAGATTGTGCTGCCCCAAAGAAGAAAGAAGAAAATGTCTGGATTCACTGCAGGGCAGTGACGGGTGGAATTTGCTTCGACTGACGGCACTGAGGTGGGATGGTGACATCTACGTGCGAGAACAAGAGGCTAGGAGAGGAGAGGATATCCTGAAATATTCAATGACGCTTCCCTTTTCTGTCAACCTGAGACATAGAAATAGGAGGGTGTGAGGAAGAGAGATTTTAATCCATTGCATGCTGTTCTATTTTTCTCAAAAATCCCCTGGGGGTAGGTAGACAAAGGAAATCAATATAAACAATGGAGGTTTCTGATACATTTAGGAAATGGAAAACAATGTTCAACATTAAGAGCTGGATGGAGGCAAACTGATATGACAGCAGTGGAAAATTCCACTACCTCCTGAGCGCTTATCTGCTTTGAGGATACAATAGAGTACCTATTGCTAACACTGAAATCATTTAATCAGGATCTCATGGAATAGAGACATTTCGGGAGAAGTCTTGATGAGAATTACTCAGAGATATTTTAATAGTTTTGATGCCTTAGGCTTAACTATTAGGTTGCTCTCTAGGAAGTGCATAGAAATCAGTAGGAATGAGGATAGAAATTTGGGATTATGCTGATCCAGAGCAGAATTATGTCCCCAAATAAGGCCACACAGGTGGATTGTGCAAAGACAGGTTGAGTCTGGGCTCTCAGTTATGCAAGTTAGAAAGATGCTAGAACTTTTTACATAAATCATTTCCAAAGCTCCATTTGTATTTTGGCTTAAACATTTATGGATAGATGGATCGATACATAGGGAGATAATATTGCTTTGTTTTGTTTGAGATAGGGGTCTTACTACATAGTCAATGCTGGAGTTGGATGGTGATCTTTTTACCTCAGCCTCCTGCCTCCTGCGTAGCTGGGATTACAGCTAGGTTCCACTATGGCCATTCTCCTACCTATACATTTGGGGATTCGGTTCCATCATCCACCATAGAGTTCTAGGGTACCAATGACTCAGACACGAAGAGTTATGTGCCTTTCTTATGACTCCATAGGTAAAGAAGGTGGTTTTGACTTGGTAGCCGTGGTCCACAGCATCCGAGAGATGTGGGACACGGCCTTTCACAGTCCAATACGCTCTCTCCACACACGTGTCCTCATCACAACTCTGTTCCAGCTGTAGACAAGAACAAGGGATAAAGAGCAGTCACAATGGTATCCTAGCTCATTTATTAAGAACCTGCCAAAAGAAATTTCCACCTATATCTCATTGGTTAGAGATCAATAAGATTACATCAACTAGGAAAAAAAAAAGATATTTTCAAACAGTTTGAAATAAAGAAAGAACAAATACTGGAAGACAGATCACAGTACTCGGTATTATCAATACTACATTTCATAAGTAAAAAATGAATCTGGGCTTTCTGAAGCCTTGCCCTTGCCTGTTTTGCATTTGAGTATTGTTTCCTGCTACTGTAAGTTGTTGGATACTTGTTAGGATGGAACCAGACTAGCCTGAGAGCTTGGGCTCTCCAGATGGGTACTCAGTAGGGGTATACTTGCTAGAGTTAACTCTGTTTAGTGAGTTTCCTTCTGATAATGTTCCAGCAACTCCAAGGTTGTGTTACCCTCTGTGTATTCTTCTTGTCATAATAAGCTTTAGTTGGTTTGTTTGCTTAAAAAAAACACACAAAAACCTTTTACACTTTATTACATTGGAACACTGGGCAGAAGGATTCCTAAGCTTTTCTTCTAGTGTTACCCCAGAGTCTCTTACTATATCTAAGCATGTTTATGCATTTCTCTGTGTCATCTGAAGCACAGAGTTTCTTTAAACAATGCAGAATAGAGTGAAGAGGTATTTGCCTCAACAGACAGAAACATTTTGGGAAATCAAATATCATCAACCATTTGAACAACTTATTGATGATTATAAAAAAGTTGTTATATTCATGGCCAAAGAGACTGAATCAGATAATGTATTTAAAGTGTGGAAATATTATTATAGAAATAAGAGAGGGAACATTGTAGATATTTCAAAGTTTCCAGGTTAGAGAAGAAAAGAATGGATTCATTCTCTGCATATTCACATATATATATATATAAGTAGTAGAAAGATATTCAGTAGGAGAATCTGTGTTAGAAAGTATGAAATGAATCAGTTTATTTTGTACGCGAGGTTACTGGGGTGCAGACCAGTGGACCAGAAGCAGTCACAGAATAGTTATAAATCTCCTGAAAAACATTGCAACATCAAGCATTCTTGAGAAATAGTCAGTAATGCTAGAATAAGAAACTGTAGATTTTGTTAGTTTCCAATGAACTGCATGTGGAAGGCAAATGCCGGCCTCAGTTCTGTGCCTCAGGAGTCATCCATTTGCCTTTTAGAGACAAAGTCTCCTATTGGTTGACTATCATCTCACCAATTTCGCTAGGCTCACTGGTTATGACTGATCCTCAGGAATCCATTTGTCTCTCCCTGCCTCCCCAGTGATAGGACTGCAACCCTCAATTTCAATTAATGGAAAATTATTAAATTATTAATTGTTATTGATTTTAAACTATTGAAAATGAGAGGAAAGAATTATATCTTCATAAAATGACATGGCTCAGACACTAAAATTGGCATTCCTATGTCATGTATACGTGTGTGTGTATATATATTTATATAAAACCCAGTTGGTTATTGAAGCCTGTGTCTCATTACATAAGCAGAAAACAACCCAACCTGGAAAATACAAAGGTAGCTTTGCTTTAAAACCTGGTATGGTGGTGCATACCTTTGATCTCAGCACTTAGAAGGCAGAGGCAGGAGGATCTCATGAGTTTGAGGCCAGCCTAGGCTATATAGTAAGTTCCAGGCCAGCCAAGGCTACATAGTAAAACACTGTCTCAAACAACAACAACAAAAAACACATCTTGCCATCCATTGCTGACTGCTGCTCTCTTACCAAGAGCAAATGTAATTGGTAACATATTAGATATGAGAATCACAGTCAAAACACTTGCTTAATTATTTACTTACTATGTCAGCTTTCCACAAATTCAATTTTTTTTCCCAGTGAAAGCTAATGAGGAAATCTACCAACTCAGCCACTAAGACTCAGGCTCTACAGTCAGTCCTGCTTATCTC